ACAAAAATAACTAGGCAAGTGCACTGATAAACAAAAGCCATTTCTCCCAGAATGCCTGTCTGCCTAGGATCACACCAGCTCTAGAGCCAGTGCCCTGCCCCGCCCTCTCCTCCCACCAAGGGCCGAGTGAAAAGGTAAATGATGTGACTTTGAGGGAATGTTGGATGCAGAGGTGAGGACACGGTGACAGCAGAACCAGTGGCTTGTCAGGGACAGACGTCCAGAAGTGGCTCAGAGCAGATCACACTGACACACACACTCACAGCACACAGCACTTCCAGCTGAGAGAGCATCTGAACGCGCAAGCTTCTGTGTGTTTCAGTAAGTTTGGAGAATTTATGAATTTGGCTCTGATTTGGGCTTCTGATCCATATTCCAGGTAAAAGAATACGGATCACGCTGACCGTGGCGAGGGGGCACGGACAGAACACATCTTAATTCTTTCTGTGCCCCGGCCCCCAATCTCTTGGTTCCCCTTCCTTTTGCCAAAGATTAATCTGAACTCAGCAAACTCACATTTCCTCCTGCGTTCAGTTCTGCAATGGGTGTTTTAAGTATGAGCTCAGAAAACCAATTTGTAGCATGATGAGGTTACTGGAGCCAGGCAGTCTAGTTATTGATTAAAATGATTAGAGCATCCGAATCTAACGGACGGGAAGCGCCTGGGGTCGGGCAGCGAATCACCACGCCTCCCGTGACTGAGCCAGGACCTCCTCAGTGCGTGCCCGTGCACGGGGCCACCCAAGGGCGTCGATGCCCTGATGCAGCTTCTGCTGCACAGCTCCTGGGGACAGGCTGCGACCTGTCCCCTGCTCCTTCCTCCTCCTCTGAGCGTACTGGCGAACAAGAGCCCCCCCCCGAGCTTCCCCCAGCCCTTCCCAGCCAGGGACGCCCACCATCACGCCTGCGCAGGTGGGCCCTGCAGCACTCATGACTGGTACCGGACGTGCTTTTCAGTGCTGGGGACGGTCCGCAAGCCTTTCACATGCCAGGCAAGCACTCCACCACTGAGGTACACCCAGACCTTTTTATTTATTTATCTATTTTACTTTGAAACTCGGTCTTGTTAGGTTGCCCAGGTTGACCTCCAACACGATCCTCCTGCCCCAGCCTCCTGAATAGCGGGAATGCCAGGTGTGTAGCACCGCACCCAGCAGAAATATGTTTTGATTTTGTGAATGGGCTCTGTCCTTGGAGATTGGTGCCTGAGACCCCACGGAGGGTGATCTTCCTGTCTAGGGGACCCAAGGCGAGTACAGGATTCCAGTTACTGACAGGAACAAGGGACACTGGCTTCCTTTCTGAGCTAGAACGAGTTCCCTTTCAAGTGACACTTTCAGCCCCTTTCCGGTTGTTTCCTAAAATGCACAAGAAAGGCAAAACAATGGGAAAATGGCAGGGCCCAGAGATTCTGTTCTCTGCTCCTGGCTCCCTCTTCCCTCCCCCAGTCTGACCTGTTCTTTCCTTCCTGCCACGTATCCCCCCCAGAGCTGGAAACACCATCGAGTCTGGGAGGGAAATCAGCAAAACTTCTCTTCCTGTCACAACAAGACGCCACTTCTGGACTTCAGCCCTCAGCCCTCTGTGTGGTGGAGTTAGGGCCGGGGTTCTGATTGGGCACCACATTCTGTTCTTGGCAATTCTGCCTGGGTGGGAAAGACCTTGGACCATAGTGACCGTATCTCCAATTTCCCCAACAGAACCAGATCCTGTTATCATTCAGGAGCACCTAACAGGGGCTGGGGGTGCCGCTCATTGGTAGAGTGCTTGCCTACCATGGTTGAGGCCCTGGGTTCCATCCCAGCATTGCAAACAACAACAAACAAAACCCTACAGGAGGGTGGGACTAGGGCAGCGGCCTAGACCTCCTGGGTCAGAGTGCGGGGTCGGTGCTCAAAGGGACGTCACTCAGATGACGGTCATCTGCAGCCATGGCCCCCGTGTCTGGCTGGCATGGGCGCGTCTCACAGCACAGCTGGGCATTAGGGATGGCCGGGCCCCAGTACATTTGCACTGCTGCAGATGCCGTGGATGCTTTGCCCCAGCCCTGCTGTGCCACAGGAGCTGCACAGCTGTGGGGGGCTCACTGCAGCCAGAGGGCAGGGGAAGAGGCCCGTGAATGTCCCAGCTCCTGCTGGTGCTGAAGTCCCCGCCGGGCCTCGTCTGCCCTGTTCCTGGGGAGCCCGTTGCTTCCCCTTGAGGCAACCCTTTCCTCAGTGGCTTCTTTACTGGTTTTTCCTTTTCCTTGTTCACTTACTTGTGCTTCCTGAGGTCACCTGCTAGAGTAACTACTTGTACCTGATCCTTACACTGAGACAGATTTTGGAGAGCCCAAATATGAAATTCACCAATCCATCCACCCATCATCCGCCCCCTCCTGCCACGACCCCTTCTAGTTTCCAGCTGCTGCACTACAGGGAGGGGGTTCGAGAGTGGACCAAGCTGAGTAAGATGTTCCTCCTCCTCCTGGGGATCTCAGTGTGCAGGAAACAATCACAGATACAGGCCCTAAGATGAGCACCGCGGCAGGAGCTAGAGACACGAGTTGCTCTGACACACAGAGGAGAGGACGGCTCAGCCTGGAGATGTGTAGGGCTTCAGGGGGCAGCGGTGCGCCTGCCGGTCTTGAGCACTTGATATGATTCATTTCCCCTCTTCTTCAGCACGTCAACTGTACTTAAAAAATCATTTTGTCTCTGCCCCAGAGCTTACAATATGCATTTATGGCTGATACAAATCTGCTTTCAAATAATGGGCCCTAATCAGGGGTCCAGTCGCCTCCTGGTACCTGTGGGGCCTGGTTCCAGCATCCGGGTTAGCAGACCCTCGGGCTCCTGAGTCCCCTACGTGGTGTGGCGTAGCCTCTGCATGTAACCGCGCAATCTCCGCCCCCCGGCTCACCCAGCTCCGGGTGACTTCTCACACTTAACACAGAGCAAGCGCTCCGCAAGTAGTTGTTGCACTGTCTTGCCAGGGAGCGAGGAGGTGAGGTCTGTCCGCACATGGGTGCAACTCCCCGAGTGCTTTGAGACCTTGGATGGTTGAATCTGAAGATGTGGGGTCCATGGGTGCAGAGAGCTGGTTGTTTTCTGTTTCTCACCTCTTCACACCATTCACTCCCATTCCTACCACAGAGGATGATTTTTTTTCCCCCAAAGTAAATCCCAACCTCGGCAGTCAGGAGACAGGGGTAAGAGGAAGATAACCTGGGACTCCTCCAAAATCTTTAGGCAAAAATGGCTATGAGAATTCTTCCCATCCCTGTACCAGGGCTCTTTGCAATGTGGCTTTGCCATTTCTCACCAGGGAAGAGGTGGCTTTGATCTCTCCAGTCCTGGGATATGAGTTTGGCCCTGGGACACCTGGATCGACAGCATACTTGCAAGTGGTCCCCAAGCAGGGACTGGCAAGTGTGCGTGTGCAACAGGCTTGGGACCTCGGGACCGGAGGGAGAGCACTGACGCCCTCCCTGTGGAGGGCTGAGCCAGGAAGCTGGCCCTCAGCACGGCCCGTACCATGGGCACGTCGCGCCCCAGGGAAGTCCCCTCTTCTGGCACTGCCCCTCAGCGGCTGCAGCCCAGTGGCGGGCACCTCAGGCCCCGTCCATCACAGGCTCATTAGCGCTGTGTCCTCTGTCTGGACCCTGCAGCAGACAGGCCGCTGTTCCCCGGCCTTTTAATAGCATTAGGAGAGGCCTGGCTCCAGCCGCTCCTCTGCCCTTCCGGCTCAGGACGCTGCCAACCCCACCCCCAGGGTAAGAAGCAGCAGAGACGCAGTGCTCTCCCCGCGGCCCCACCTCCACCCTACTCCAGGAGGCGAGGACTCGGAGCTGGACGATTTACGGCCCATGATTTAGACGCAGGAGAGAGCGCGAAGGAGCAGCGCAACATCCTTGGCGTCCAGGCCAGGCGTCCCCTGAGGCTCCGATGGGCTGTGCCCGGCTCCTGTGCCCGGCTGCGCCTGCCCTTCCCGGCAGCCCTGCAGCCCATCGCCACCTATAAGACTGTAAGCGCAGACTGTCTCAAGAAGCAAACCCGCTTGTTCTCCGACACTTCCTCCCCGACTCCTCTAGGCTCTCCTCTCTCGTCCCCCTCCACGGTCTCAGGCCCGGTGCACTCTTCCCTGGGTGCCTGCCCGCGTGCGGGTTACCTGCCATCGGAGGACCAGGAGCAGCTGCTGTGGGTGGGAGGATTCGGGGCCCTGCGATCTGGGGCTCCCGCGGCTTTCTCCAGCTTCCTGGGCTCAGCGGAGAGCGGGCAGGGGCGGAGGGCGGGAGGCCCCTGGTGTCCACTGTGTGGCCCAGCCGCGTCTG